GTGTCGCGCCCGTACCGGACCGGGACTGGCAACGGGATCGCAACCCTCGGTGTTGCCCCCGGCCCCCGCAGTGAGCCGCCGGTCTGCACGTGGGATCCGAACCCTCGGTGGGAGCACCACTGCACTTCCCAAGCGGCGCACTGTAGCAGTGCGCCACCGGGCCGGCCCTAAAGCTTTTTACTAATACTAATTTCACGTAGCATTAAAATTCAAAATGTATATCCATTGAAGTGAATCATATAACTGGGAACTGATTTAATAAACTATTTGAGTTCCTAAGGAAATCCTTGTAAATTTAAGATTTAGGTAAGATAGAAAAAGCATCTGTAACTGAAATTGAAAGCAACTATTTAGTGTGAGATCACTTTATTATAGAACTCTGTAATAAAGATATTTTGGATTGAGAGACACCAAATAGAAAATAAATTCATTTCCTGTAGGTAATAGATTTGAAGTATATCTCCTGGGAAGAAAGTTCACATTACTTTTAAATGCCATTTACAGATGATTTCTGTCATATAAATTCTGTTACTTTTAAACTTCTTTGAAGCCTAAAAATGATTTTAAATATTTGTTCATTGAATTTGCTACATATAATTTCTACATTATTTTACTGTGATAAGAAAAATTAAATGTATAGGTAATATAATTTTCTCCTATTTACCTATAGCAAGTACAGATGAAGTTCAGGTTCCCCAAGGAAATATTGATCATGTTGCTGTTGTGGCCTCCAATGTTCTGTTTTTTGTGGTTCTATTTATTTTTGCCCTTTTTGAAACGTAAGTTTTATTCTGTCTTTATCTAACTGAGTTTACATATTAACCTATATTTCTTGATGCAGTGTTAAGTAGACATGTAGATGTTATTGAAAACCTTATGTAAGGCATATTTTTCTTATCATGATGTAAAAACTATATATAAATTTCGTGATTTTTAACTTGAATGTCGTTCATTCTCTGTCCATAATCTTACAACCTTATTTTACTTCCTTAGAATGGAATCTGTTTCACTAGTCTTTCCCCCTTTCATCTGAGCTTTATGATAAATTCAGTTACAAAACTTTAGTGTCATGATTTATTTAATTTTAAGCTATATAACTCCCTACTTATGTATATAGAATTAGGTCTGGCAATTTTAACTCTATTTAATCCCTGATCCTGAAAAAAACTAGCATCTTACAAAGTCTCTACCTCCTATAGGCTTTATTTATCTTACAGCTCTTTTATTTTTCAAATACCTTTCCATTAAATTAAAAAATAGTACATTCTTCTAAAAATTTCAAACACTACTACATTTTCACATTTACTCCTTTTTGTGGAGATAATCACTGCTAATACATCAGTTTGTAGTTTTTCAGACACTTTTCTGTGCAGCTATAAGAGCATGTGTGAGTGTGTATTTATTAAACTCACGTGGACTGTCTGATGTTATCATCTGACCACTTGGTTTATTCATTTAATCAGTACATGTGGCATTTTTAT